TTCTCCTGCAATCCTACATATTTTATTTTATGCATTTAAAACATTAGTCTGAGAAGAAGTCTATAGGCTTTACCAGGCTAACAAAGGCATCTAAGACACAAACTTAACCCCAGCTCTAGAAGGGTCTCCCTATTAGTAATCTTTCTTTTCAGGGATAAACCTATACTTTGTTTTCCACAACTAGTACTTTTCTGTCCTACTCTAATGATCTAGCCCTTGCCTCACCCCCAGGTAAATGATCTCTTTTTGCTTCTTGCTGTTGTCTCTCAAGTGAGCTGTCCATTTCTGACTCAGCTTTTTTTCAGTCTCCTTTGCTATTGGGCCTTCTTTTCTCAGTAAGGCCTCTATTTCCTTGACAAACCTCCTCTTCCTCAAAAGTAAGTATGTAAATCAGCTCCAGGTATTACACTCTACTGTCAGTGTATCTGGTATCACTGAATGAGCCAACAGATTGGGAAAGGCCCAGAGTGCTAAAGAAGTAGACCAACCTTACTAAAAATTGCCTTGCTATCTTCCAATCCTTTGACCTTGTCCCACCCCACCCCCCAAATAGTCTTATAATGTCTTTCTTTTTGTTGTGTGGATGCACTCTAGAAATTAAGGGACTCCTATTAATTTCCATGGCAGCAAGGTAGCACGGTGGATAGAGCACCAGGCCTGGAGTCAGGAAGACCTGAGTTCAAATCCAGTCTCAGATACTTACTAGCTATGTGACCCTGGGCAAGTCACTTAACCTTGTTTGCCTCAGTTTCCTCATCTGTAAAATTAGCTGGAGAAGGAAATGGCAAACCATTCCAGTATCTTTGCCAAGAAAATCCCAAATGGGGTCACAAAAAGAGTCAAACACGACTGAAACAACCACAGATGAATTTCTAGTCCAAAAATTTCACCATTTATACAAAACATAACATTTCCAGTTTTAAATATGAAATTTTATTTAGAAAATCAATGTTAGAATACTAATCTTGAGACATGTAGTCTATGTAGTAATAAACAATGAAACTATTATACAAAATTAATATGTATCAAATGAAATAGCAACATATGCAGACTAATGTTACTAACATCAGGAATACTGTTCAACACTTCATATTTATGATTCTATGATAAAATACCTGTAGAAAGGAAGGGAAAAATCCAAAAGTCTTCAGATACAGGATGCCACGTTTATTTTTTCAGGTTTTTTATTTAATGTTTCCAATTATCAAAAATCCACCATCTCTATCCACCACTTTTCCATACACCCTGAAAGAAAAGCAAAACCCTTGTAACAAATATGCACAGTCAAAGAAAAGAAAATTCCCTGCAGTGACGATTTCAAAAAAAAATGTGTTTCAAACTGCACCCTGAGTGTATTACTTCTCTGGCAGGAGGTGCATCGTATGTTTCTTCATGGGTCCTCTGAATCATGGTTGGTCATTTCATGGATCAGAGTTCTTAAGGCATTTAAACGTTGTTTACTATTGTCATTGGGTAAACTGACTTTTTGTTCACAGATGTATGTGTACTCATTGCAGCCTCTGAGGCTGAGATGCAACAAAATATGGATTGATTCTCTGCTGCTTGCATTAATTTTGGCCTAACAGTTAACATCAAGAAAACAGAGCTTCTCTACTGGCCAGCACCATACCATCCACACATGTAACCAATCAACTACAGCAAATAGAGAAATATTGAATGCTGTGGATAAGTTCACCTACCTTGGCAGTATACTTTCCATAAATGAAGAGGTTGACACAGGCAATGCCAGAGCTAGGTCAATGTTTGGGAGGCTCCAAAGGAGAGTGTGAGAGAGAAGAGGTATTAGACTGCCTACCAAATCGAAGGTCTACAGTGCTTTGTGCTGACCTCATTGCTGTATGCCTGTGAAACCTGAACAGTCTACCAGTGCCATGTCAGAAAACTGAATCACTTCTACTTGAATTGTCTTAGGAAGATTCTGAAGATCACCAGGCAAGATAAGCTATCAGACACTTGTCCTTTCTCAAGTTGAATTGCCAAGCATTCAAACTCTGCTGCAAAGAGCTCAGTTCTGATGGGCTGGCCTAGTTGTTCAAATGTTAAACCTATGTTTGCCTAGAAGACTGTTTTATGGAGAACTCACATAAGGCAGGGGCTTACATGGTGGTCAGAAAAATTGATACAAGGACACTCTCAAGGTCACGAAGAACTTTGGAATCAATTGTGAGATGCGGGAGACATTAGCACAGGACTGTCCAGCGTGGCATGCCCACATCAAAGAAAGCAATGTATGTACTGTATGAGCAAAGTAGAATTTCACTAATTCAAAAGAAATCTGAGATGCATAAATTCAGAGACATCTCCATTCCAAATGGTCATATGAACTATCTGTGCCTGATGAGTTCATGTTAGTCTGATCAGCCACAGTTGGACATCGACCCTGACATTGTGATGTCATTTTGGTCCTCTTCAAGCATGAAGGACAAACAATATTGTATAAATTGTTCTCCTGGTTCACTCTGCATCAATTTATTGAAGTCTTCCCAGGTTTCTCTGAAACTGTTCCCTTCATCATTTCTTACAGCACAATAGTATTCCATTATATTCCTATCCCATGAATTTGTTCAACCATTCCCCAATTGTTGGATGCCCTTTTAGTTCCCAGTTCTTTGCCACCACAAAAATGTAACAGGGTTTTTGTGTATGCTCATCTCCTTTGTAAATCACCCCTCAGCCTGCCATTTAATTTATCATATTCTCATAAACCCTATGTCTAGTATAATCCAGGAGTATATATGGTTTGTTGTTGGTTGTTCAGTTGTGTCTGACTCTTTATGATCCCATGGACCATCACATACCAGGCCCTTCTATCCTCCACTGTCTCTCACTGTCTATGCAAGTTCATGGTCATTGTTTCCATGACACTATCTATTCCTCTCACTTTCTGAAGTCCCCTTTTCCTTTTGCCTTCAATCTTTCTCAACATCAGAGTCTTTGCCAATGAGCCCCGTCTTCTCATTAAGTGGCCAAAATATTTAAGGTTCAGCTTCAGTACTTGACCTTCCAATGAATAACCTGAATTAATTTCTTTAAGTGTGACATTTTCTAATAAATTAGTAAAATTTAAACTTCTCAATCGTTAATTAGCCAACTTGAAGCCCCCACTCCATGTTATTTAAAAAGTTGAAAAACTTCTTGCATAAATAATAACTTATAACATTTTGTCTGTGTGAGAAATCACAGCTAAATATATATTTGTCTTTGGAGTATTGTTTGCATGGTTAATGAATTGTATAGCTAGTAACAAATATTTAAGTCTAGGAGAATAGGGGTTTTGATATACAGAGAAATATGAGTATATGGGAAAATGTTTCTCTTGTTTATGTTTACTAATTATAATTACATAAATTATGTTTAATAAAATGGAAGTAATGACTTGGAGCTAGTTGATTAATGTTATGATGTTAATTAGTTAATGAAATGTTACTCTTTTAGTCATTAATAAGGAAATATTCAAACATACTGCTGGATTGTCCTATAATTCTGGATAAGGATGAAAAAAGAAAATAAATCAAGTAGTAGGTATATAGATAAATTTGAGAAAGGATAAAGAAAAGCTTCCTGTAATTTGTTGGCCCCTGAGATAAGCCTTGAAGAAAGCTAGAGATTGATTCTAAGAGGCAGAACCAAGAAGGGAAAGCATTCCTGGTATAGGGGACAGTTTGTACAAAGGTATAATGGACAAGGAATATTTGAACAATTAGTAGGCCAGTTTGTCTAGAGATGGTGATGGGGAATGATGGGCTGTCATGTTATTGCAGCAGAACACAAATATGCTTCACCTTCTTCATCTCATTTGAAAAGAGTGATCTCTAAAGTCCCTTGCAGCCCTATGTCCTATAGTCCTATAAAAGAAGCCCCCCAGTCACAGTTTGTTAGAAGCATGGCCAGGATTCCAACCAAAGTCCAAATCTAATGTGCTTTCTGTCACTGCAAAAAATGCAGTTAGAAATTAGGTATAAGGGGCAGCTAGGTGGCCCAGTGGATAGAGCACAGGCCCTGAAGTCAGGAGGACCTGAGTTCAAATGTGACCTCAGACCAAGCACTTGACATTTACTAGCTGTGTGACCCTGGGTAAGTAAGTCACTTAACCCCAATTGCCTAAAAATAAAAAAAATAAATTAGGTATAGTCAGAAGTAGTACCAGATAGAAAATAACTAAAGCAATTAGTTTAATTTGATTAATTAAAATAATTTAATTAGTTAATAGAACATTAATCTCATACTAGATGGGGGGGTGGGGAGGAAAAGATCTTAATTGCATTTAGTAAGAAGCTATTTCTCCAGGCTGGAACCACTTAACCAAACACAAGGTAGGGAGGGGAGGTGGAGAAAAATGAGGCACAGAGATGAGGGGCATTGAGAAGGGAAGGAACTAGAAATTAAATGAGCATCATACAAATATATTATGCAAATAACCTCTTCTCCTTTGGATCCCAAGCAGATTCCCCAAGGAGACAGAGAGGGTTGGGGAGAAAGGTTGCCCCCATTTTATAAGTGGAAATAAGTAAGGGTCAATCATGATTCAGCCAGCTGAGGTTGAACCCTGGAGACCTAGCCCAGCCCTCTTGTCACATGTTGGGGGAAGGGAGTGGATTATCTGATGTCACAGCCGGGGTGGGGACCGTGGTCACCTCCTCACACATCCAGGCTGTGAATCTAAGACGGTGTAGAGGAAGCTGAGACAAAAAAGGGGGGAAAAGGAGTAGGCCAGGTAAGGAGGGGGAAGAAAAAGTAGACTCTAGATTTGGGTTAAAGCATATCAAAAGTGTTGGTCATGCCAGAGGGAAAGCTACCCTTTTCCTTTGCAGGATTTTGAGGAATACCCTCTTTTACTTTCCATAAATCAGATACTGGCTCCCTCATAATCTGCTGGGGACTTAGAGTTGTAGAACGACTCCTCAGTATAAGAAATCATATTCTGAGAGAATCTGGCATCCCTGTTTCCATATGTTTCCGTAGTTCTAGCTCAGTCTCTCTAGCTTTTTTCTTTTTTTTTTGTCTACTTCTTTGTCTCTAAAAGTCAAAGGCAGCACAGGAAACAGGCAGTCTTAAGTCTGAAGTGATAATGAAAAAAACTCCAGCGTTGTGTGTCTTTAGCTCAGTCATTTTCTCTTTCCGAGGTTTTTCCGAGTATCTGCTTTTATCTCTCCCTGTGTTTGACCTCTAGCCTTATCCAGACCTTTTCTCCCATTCTCCCCAGCCCAGGCTGTGGGAACCAGGATAAGTGACTCTTCAGTACTGGATACAATGGGCCCTGAAAGATATATAAGGGAAGAAATAACAGCTAAGGTTGCTCTATGATTTCCTGTCCCTGTCAGTCAGTCCCTGACCCAGCCCTCTGACCACATCCTCTCTCACCTCAGGCAAAGGCTTCTCTGACATATACACCACCCACCTGGTCTTGAGTTTAGGTGTTCCCTTCCAAGAACCTCTCACTAAATCCCATCATCTTTTTGTATGCTAAGAACTAATGTACTGTACTTTGACTCCAGTATTGAGAATATCACATGTCTTCACTCTGATTCCCTGACCTTCTGTCTTACTGCTCTTGATCTCTACCTCATTCGAGGTATCTGATGCCACTTCCCCTCCACAGGTGACCAAAGGCTTCTAACTGCCATGTTCTCTGGCAAATGGTGGCCAAGGACCAGAGACACCCTTAGGATGGGGACCCAAGGCCCATCCCGGGGAGCTCGCCTCTACATCTTATATGGCTTCACCTACATGGGAGCAGATGGCCAGCAGGTGTCTCTGGCTGAAGGTGACCGATTCCTCCTACTTCGAAAGACCAACCCAGACTGGTGGTTGGTGAGGCCTCTGGGAGCACCTAGGAACACCCGACCCCTTTTTGTCCCTGCTGCATATGTGGCTGAAGAGTCTACACCCACTCGGAGGGCCTCTGCCACTACTACTAGCCAATTCCTCTGTGCCCCTAGTAAGTGAAACCCTCCTCTTTTCACCCAGCCCTACCACCCCTCAATAAGTCCCGATCTGTGACCCACATCGCCCAACATCTTTGTTTCTTATTATGCCCCTAATTATTAGTGAGTGATTCTTACTTCAATTGGCTTTTCATGGGTTTTTAATAATGCCTTTCTCCAAACGATCTCCATAACTCTAATAAGCAGCTCCAACTTTTCCCATCAATCTCTCTGTCCCCAGGCCTCTAGCATTTCAAGTCCCTTCTATTCATATTTCACTTCCCCACCACTTTCCCTCTCTGTCTTCTGTCTTTCTATTGCCCATCCCAAATTAATTGGACCCCCAGAAAAATGAGACCACCTGAAATTTGGGAGGTTACACATCTATCTATTTTCCCTCCCCCATTCTCTGTCAACAGAACCAAATCGATTTCATTCTTCCCTGGGAGAATTGTCCGTGCCTCAGTCATCCCAGGGTAAATCCCCCAGCCTGTCCTGGCAGCCTCCTCTTCCGCCAAAAATACAAAGGAGTCTTAGTGCAACTGGACTGAGTCCCAGCCCACTGCAATCCCTCTCAGACGGACTGACTGGACATTTGCACTCTCAGGAAGACCTGAGAACTACGACCAATACCAACACAGTAAGAAAGTCCCCTTCTACCCCAAAATCATTCCAGTTAACTTCAAGTCCTCGGCCCCGACGGCACCTTGACTTTTCTGTACATTTCTGAAAAGAACAAATAGCCTGATTTCCTTGCAGTGTCCACCCATCCCAAAGCCTCAGGTCATTGGAATACCCCCTCTTCTCTGAGGTCTAAACCTCTCACCTCCCATTACAGTCCCAGTCACTCCGAACTCACTCTGTCCTCCTTGGGAACGGAGAATGTCCGCTCTTTAGATCCCGGAGTTAGGGGGCTCAGTTTAAGTCTTCTCTTCTATGAGAGCAGGCTGTGTGGGTGGGTGGAGCCCCAAGCTCCTCCCTGCCCCACCCCACCCCCAAGCAGGCAGCATGTTCCCCTTTCCTTCAGCCTTGGGGTTAGGGTTGTGTGTTGGGGGGAAGTTGGCAACAGGAAGCGAGTAGGAGTAAAGTTAAGGGGAGGGGAGCAAGAAGATTAGAAACGGCTGAGGACAAGTCTACCAGCACCTGGGACACCCCAATCTGGAGCTGGTGGTAAGAATATAGGGAGTAGGGGATTGGAGTTGGAAAACAATCTGAGTGGCCCGGGGCAAGGGCCACTCTGATTGTGGAGAAGAGGAAACAAAATTAAGGAGGAGTTTGAATTAGTATCTTATTAACCGTCACTTTCCTGCCCCCCTCCCAGCAGTCGGGACCCTGGTCCCCCATGTCCGAACCCCCTCTGTACTGTAACCTGGTGGACCTGCGCCGCTGCTCCCAGACACCACCCCCAGGCCCTACCCGGCCCCCACTACAGCGGCTGGACTGCTGGGAACAGCATCTGGACCTCGACTCCGGTCGCTGTTTCTACATCCACTCCCTGACTGGACAGGCGTCCTGGAAGCCTCCCCGAAGAGCTCGTGAAAAGGTGAGACCTTTCATCTGTGAAAAAGAAAGGCCTTCCTCTTTGGAACGTACTGCTGCTACCCTTTCTGTCGCTCCCGGCACCTCACTCATCTTTGCCCCTCCCCCTTCTAGAGGTGAAACTTCTCTCGGAGGGATTTCCTCATCCCTCCCAATTGTGAGATGGAGAATCTGAGGGTCTGTGGAAGGCCTTTTAAAGCAGATGGGTTCTTATAATTTATTGTGTCATTGTCCCCTTCAGCACTCTGGAGAAACCTATGGACCTCTTCTCAGAATCATGTTTTCGAATGCACAAAATAAAATACATAAAATTACAAGGGAAACAAATTATATTATAAATATAGCAAAAAAGTTATCAAAATATTTTTTAAAAGCAAGTTCCTGGGGTACGGGTTAAGGACCCCTTTTTTGAAGTGAAGAGATTGGGGAGGCTGTTTTGCAAAGTCATTTAGTTTCGGTTGTTCCCCTTCCCCCCACACTACCAGACTCCTGACTCCATGGAAGGGACCCCGCACCTGGGGAGAGATGCCCAAGCCCAGCAGGCTGAGGAGAAGGGTGCGGGACCCTACAATCAAGTGTCAGAAACCAAGGAGATGCTCACCACTCAAGTGAGATATCTTTGACTCCCTCACCTGCACACCAGGGAAGATGTTTAGTCGTCCCTTTACTCTGGGAGCCTGCCCCACCCCTCAAACTCCCTGATCCCCCTCAAAACAAACACCCCACCTCGGTTGCCCCTGGGTTGATCTTTCCTCTCCACTTCGAGGTTGCCTTTGTTCCCCGCCCTCCCCCTGCTTCTCAGAGGTACCCTTTCCTTCCTGCCTTCCGCCGGACTTCGGAGTTGAGATGGGAAGGCTTGACTTCTCCAACGCCCACGGTTCCCATCTCTTCTCCCGGTCCTCACTCTGCCTCACGGGCTCCTCCTCTCAGACCTCCATTGCAGACAACTCCCGAGGCTCCCTGGCCCTTAGATCCCAACCTCAGCTCCTGGATGACCCTCACGTGAGTCTCTCTTTCCACCTTAACTGTCCTGAGTTCTCTGGGTCTCTAGGGTCCTGTCCAAATGCTTTTCTAAAATCTCATCTCTACCTCCACTTCCACGGCAGAACGTGGTTTCTCCCTCCTTGAATATTCATAGAGCACTTTGTTTGACCTCCTTCACAACTTCAAGTGATACTTATCAGTCTACCTACTTTTCATCTTCAGCTACACCCCCTCCCTCTCAGTTGAAAATAAGCAGGGATTTTGTGCTATCTGCTGGTCCCCACATTTCTCTCTTTCTCTCTCTCTCTCTCTCTCTCTCTCTCTCTCTCTCTCTCTCTCTCTCTCTCTCTCTCTCTCTCACACATACACACACACACACACACACACACACACACACACACACGCACACACACACACACCCCTTCCAAGCATAATAAATGTTTGCTTGCTTGAATTCAGACCAACCCTCCCTTTCTTCCAAAATATCCACCCAGACTTCTGGAGATGGTTCCTGAGCTTCAGGAATGTCTAAGCAAATAAACTGAACCTCCTCTGGGGCAACTCCTGAGCCCCTGGAACACACCTTGGTGGGGTCTAATGATAACTTTTCTATCTTTCCTCACACAGGAGGTGGAGAAGTCTGGCATGCTCAACAAGACAAAGATTGCTGAGGGAGGCCGGAAGCTCAGGTGGGGATTGGGGAGCTGGTCATGGGGGATGGGAACTGAAAAATGAGGGCAGATCTGAGACCCTCTTTTGAGTCCCGGACTGCCATGGCAGTCTAGTGAAGCCTATGGACCCCTTCTCACAATCATATTTTTAAATACCTAAAATAAAATATATAGGATCACAAAAGGACCCAAAAGCTAGTGAAAATATAGATAGAATGTTTTTCACATTCAAGTCCATGGAGTCCCAAAATCTATCCATAAGAATACCCTGATCTAGGAGGTAGGGTGTTGATAGGGAGAGATATCTTCCTGGGGTGTGATGATTTTCCCAATGCTCCCTGTAGGAAGAACTGGGGTTCATCCTGGGTGGTGTTGGCAGGAAATAGCTTGGTGTTCTACAAAGTTCCTCCAACTTCAGTTCCTGCTGTATGGGTAAGAGTTCTGTGCTGGGCAAAGGTGTGTTGGAGTAGAGGGTCTGCACGATGAGGAAGGGAGGAGAGGGATGACAAGTGGGAAACACATTTTCTCCCCCATTTGCCTACTGGATTGGAGAACTCAGAGGTGGTGGTGGTGGTGGTGGTGATGGTAAAGATAGTGAGGAGGTCAGGGAACAAGTATTAAAGTGAGTTGGGAGGAGCTTACCACCATTTCACCTTTCCTACTCTCTTGGGTGGGGGGTTGACACCCAAGAGTTAGGGGCCATGAAAGGGAGGTAGTAATGGCCTCAATTCTCTCTCCTGACCCTACCCTCATGCAGGGTCCAGCTGGCAGTCGGCCAGAGAGCAGTGTGGACTTAAGAGGGGCAGCTCTGGCTCATGGTAGACATCTGTCCAGCCGCCAGAATGTCTTGCATGTGAGTGACTGTCCATCCTACTCCCTTCCCAGGCAACATACATTACTGTCCTGGTCTTCTGCCTGATGTCTCTCCACCCAGAATCTCTCCACTTCCAGAAGCCAGACCCCACATATTTCCCAAATATCTGCCTTCCCCCAAATCTATCCTTCCACCACTAAACCTTTCCTCTGGGCCTGACTTTCAGGTGCGTACTGTTCCTGGACATGAGTTTTTGTTGCAGTCTGATGATGAGACAGAGTTCCGAGCCTGGCACCGAGCACTGCGGGAGGTCATCGACCGCCTGGTCAGGGGGCCAAGAGCCCAGGGTGTAGGGTCTGGGAGGGAAATCCAGGGATAAGGTTGGGCAGAGGGATTTGGTCCAACGAACAGGATTTGAAGAGTGGGGTCTGGGGGAAAGTATGAGACTAATGTTGGAGCTAAGGGTTAAATTTGAATATGCAAAGATTCCAGAATCCATGAATCTCTGCACCAGGGTTGGGGACAACAGTCTCTCCCTAGCTCATCACTCCTTCTCTCCAAGCAGTAGTGCCTGGACCCCCTCTTCATTCTGATTCCAGGAGCGTGAGAATCCTCTGGAACTGCGACTATCTGGGTCTGGGCCAGGGGAGCTTGAGGAACTGAGCCAGGGTGAAGAAGATGAAGAGCCAGAGCCAAAGTCCCTGCTAGGACGTCGAGGAAGAAGCTACAGGATCTCTCGTAAGAAATTGGATTTATTGGGACAGCCTGAGCCAGGAGGCAGAGCAAGGCCAGATGTCAGGGAATGAGTTGGGCCAGAACCACTGTGACTAATCCTCAGTTAGGGGATGTGTCCCAGGATGCTCAAGGAGGTCTGGGGCCTTTCTCAGTTCCCCCTTCCAGCTTTCTACCCCAACCCTAAACTTACTTCCTCAGATCGAGGCCCTGAAGATCAGAATCGAGTGAGGAACAAGCTGAAAAGACTTATAGCAAAGCGACCTCCCTTGCAGAGTCTACAGGAGCGGGGACTACTCCGAGGTATGAGTGGGAGAAAAGGGATAATGGATCTGAGTTTCAGTGGGTAAAGGCTTCTCCAAGATCAAGGTGGTTTGGAGGGGGCTGCTCACTTCAAGTTGGGGGAGGTGAGGTAAGGAGGAGAGGAGATTTATGTTTAAGATAAACTTCCCAGGCTAATAGGAATCTCTTCTTTTCTCCTGCCCCTCCCAGATCAGGTGTTTGGCTGCCACTTGGAGTCTCTGTGCAAGAGAGAAGGGAGTACTGTGCCAAATTTTTTCAGGCTCTGCATAGATACCGTGGACAAGAGAGGTGACTTTCGATAGAGTCCAAGCATCCCACTCTGTCCTCCACACCCCTGACACACACAAACTTCCTTTAACTCCTAACTCTTTCCCAAATCCTTTTTGTAGCCTCTGTTCTGCACAACCTAACTTTCCAGCCTTCTGCCCCACATGCCCCAGGCCCTTCTGCCCCACATGCCCCAGGCCCTCTGTACAACTACTCCACACATTTCCTAGACTACTTTTTACACTTTCCTGATTCTCTCAGATCTTCCGTTCATTGAGCAGGTGAGTATTAAATTTCTGCTAAGCTAAAGAGATTGGGTTAGTGCTGAACTCATACACCCTGCTCACAAGATTCATACAATCTTATTGAAGGGGGAAAGGATCATAAATACGTATGAGATGAGTGCTATTGTTAGGTACAGGTAAGAGGATTTTGAAGAGGGAGAGATAACTTTCACTTAAGTGGAGAAGTGGGGAAAGGCAAATGACACTTCCTGACTGAGGAAGGTGTTGCTTGAGTTGGGCCTTAAGGGAAGAAAGGAAGTTCAACAGAGGGGTGATGGAATGGAGTCATCTATTCTAATTATTAGCCAAGACCCAAGACAGAAGGCCGAACAAAATAGAGTGTTTTAATTTGACTGGAACTTGGCTATGT